GGAGGGATCCCCCGGCAGGAGGCGCAGCAGAGAGAGAGAGCGGGGGGGGGCGGGCGGGGAAGGGGAGGGGAACGGAGAATGGGGGCGTCAGATTGGCCGAGGGTGGTCGCGGGCATGCATCTCAAAAGAGCGCCCGGACGCGCGGCGGAGGCGCGGACGCGGGGTCACGGGGCACGAAAGCCCCCCTTCTCCTCCATGCGCTGCGCGCGTGTGTGCGGGTGTGCGGGCATGCGGGTGCGCCCCAGGGGCGGCCCCCGTTGGCCCGACGAGGCGCGGGCATTGTTTCGGCGCCCAGTCAGGGGCCTGTGTTGTGAGCATGGCACGTGGGACGCGGGGCGGGACCGATGCCCAAATGCTAACTCCCAAAATGACCACACGTGACTGCACCCGCTCTGGCTTTGCAAGAGTATGGGTCAGGGACAATAGCCGGTATTATATATTCGCTTGAAACATATGGAACATTTGGCTCGCCATCCCCGGGTGGTCGTTGGCGCCGGGCGGCAAGGCGGGGCACGCGCATCGCCGGGGGGGGGGGGGCACACGCGAAGTGGCGAGGCCCCCCGACAGAGCACAGGCGCCCGGGCGAGGTCGCGCGCGCGGGGGGCTAGCATGCGTCCCCCCTCCCCGCCCAAGGCTCGGCGACCATTTCCGCCATCCGGCAGCGTCCGGTCCATGCAGCCGGAGTCGACACACCGATGCGGGGGCCTGCCGCCCTGGGCGTTGCCCCCTCCCGGCAAGATGGTTATTTGGGGGGAGCATGGTATGGCCGGTTCCTGTCCTCCCTGCCCCGCTGCTGTCTTGCTCCTGCTCGGGCTCCGAGCCATCCCCCCAATGGTCTCCGGGCGTTGAGACGCCCAGGATGGCGGGAGGGCCCGCGCCCGGCAGGGCCCAAGTCCAGGCCTCCGAGTAACAAACCGCGCTGGAAAGGGGTGACACGCGGGACGGCTGGCGACACCGGCGCGGGGCCACACCCGTCGAGGTATGTTCGCCGGCCGGGAGCCATGACTTCGGGCGGCACTTCTGGAGGGCGAAATGCATGGAGCCGGTCGGATGGGGCCGGGTCGGGCGCCCCCCCCCCCTCCGGCCAGGCACCGGCCAAGGCCTGTCCTCGCCGGAGTTCCAGCAGCCCTCGAAGGGCCATATTATAAAACGCTCATGTCAGATCGCAATAGTGAAGAGGGGGGCAGGTGCCGGGAGCTTGGCTGATGGTAGGGGCGCCGATCGTCGCGCGAAGTGTCCCGGTCAATGCGCCACCAGAAACCCGGCGTGTGGGTTTGGCCCCGATGGTGCCCTTGCCGGCGAGGCCTGGCGTGGCCAAGCCCGAAGCGGTCGTGTGCCCTGAGGGAGGGGGGGGGGGATCCAGCGACACAAGGCGGTCGGAAGAAGCGCGCATGTATCTGGCACTGTGCCAAGCCAGAGACATAGATGAGTGCACATATGTGTATATTTATATGAGGTGTGTGTATGATGCGATGGCCATGCAGCCGGGCGTGCCGGCCCATCAGCCGTGGGAGCTGTTCAGGCCGCCGGCGGCCACAAAGAGCGCGGCGCACTGCTGGCGGAAGATGTGGGCGGCGGGACGCCGGTTGGGGTCGGTCTGCCATGCGGAGACGGCGAGATCCGGAGCGTGGGCGGCGTCCGGGCGCTGGCCGCCGAGCACGGCATCCATGATTTGGTTGATGTCCATGTCTGGGATGATGTTGCGGAGCATGTCAGCGCGGGGGGGGGGGGGGGGGGGCGGGGGGGGGGGGGGGGGGGGAGCGCATGTGTGGGCGCCGGGGTCTCCGAGGGGCAGGCAAGCGGGGATGCGTGGGCGGACGAGCGCACAGGCGACGTACTGTTCCAGAAAGCGGTGCGTGTGGTGCACTCGTAGAGCATGAGGCCCGCGGCGTACATGTCTGCCGGGAAGAAGTGCCCCGCGTCCAGCGGAGTCCCACGCCGGAAGGCGGTGATCACCTCCGGCGCGGCGTACCGCACGGTCATGGCATTCAGCTCGGGCATGGTGTTGACGAGGACCGACGACCGGTCGGCGCTCAGATTGCGCGA